GAGACGGAATGAAGGGGAATGAAGCTGCCCACCATTTCCCACACCAGCTTACCTCAGAGCCCCCGCAGCCAGGCCTTTCATGGCCCGACACCTGCTTTGCCTCATGGCCACAGCACCAACGCTCCATTCGTTCTCCTGCTCCATTGTGGCCATGAACAAGCAGAAGAAGTGGGCTGCTGTTGCGAGGCAGGTGTCGGGGCATGGGTGGCCCGGTTGAATGGACGGGTGGTCAGCTGTAAGCTGGAATGGGTAGTCGGTCAACTGCTCAGGCTCTTCTTAAGTAGGGCTTATTTTGTAGGTAGGGCTTATATTAGGCACACATAAACATGCTGTCTTATTTTTTGAATAGGTCTTATTTTCAGAGTTATAAAATAGAATTATGTAATCTCACTGACCAACCTTCATTCCCATCATTCCTTCACCTAATGTTCCTGTTCTTGTGTGAACATAATTTGCTACCAGAGAGGAATTCCAACCCATTCCTTTTGTTGGATCATTACACTGCAGAGGTAGATAGGGGGACTACCACTATCTTAGCATAATTGCAGTAGACCCTCTGGCATTTAGTGTATATTGTCTCATCCACAAAGCACAATTTATTTATTATGTCAGCCTAAGCTAAAATCCTGTAAAAACTTGCACCAGTAAGACACAACTGATAGCAGCTGCTTTAGTTAGTTATGCTTCAATTTACAGATTACAGACAGGAGAGAAATCTGCTGTATAAACCTACGTTTGCTGCCCAGTTGCTCTCACTAAAAATGAGTGAACTAGTTTCTATTATGGAATTTACCTGTTGGAACTGCAAAAATGGATGGCCAGCCACATTTATTCCACTTCCATCAAAATGGTCTATCTGGATTTAATTATTAGGTTGCACTCCTCATATACTTCCAGTTGTTATCCATTATCAATTTTTAATAAACTAGTGCTTTTTTCATTAGGCTTGCTTGGTTGGTCAGATTTTTCATTAAGCTTGTTAGTCAAACTTTAAATGTTCACACAGGTTATTTTTTGCTCGAATCTTGGTGATCTTAGGTTTAGTTAAACTATGTATCCTGCAATATTTTATTTTATGATGGTTTAGATACCATCCCCAGTATATCCACTGCACAATTTTGCTGGAGGGATTTTGGTATCCACAGGATTTGGTTACCCTGACCATAATGTAAGTCCTTTGTGCAATTTGCATACATGGCCAATATGGGCAAGAATGTACTCCTATTTACTGGTCTTTAAAAAGTCAAATTTGATTAAATACAAACCATGTTTATGACTCAGAATAGATTCTGTTGCTCAGTTCTTTATTTCATCTCAAAAATGTATTTACCGGGTTTTGTTTTTTTCCCCATAGACCTATGAGATATTTTTAGACCATAAATTTTGAAACAGATGATATGTATATAGTGAAGTTTCTTGATATTTTTATGACATAGAGGATTGTGTGTGGAAATGAGAAGACGCCATGCTATTGGGCCAGATGTTTGAAGCTGTATACTGGTGTTTGAAATTTATTTTTGAAAAATGGGCCTTGGGAAACTGTTGTGAATTGAACAAGTTTAACAGCATGCCAATATATTAGAAGCAACATAAGGGAATACTTGTTTTGTGGATCTGGATTTTCTGAATTTATGATGAATACTATATTTTCTTCATAGGGCAAGCTCTCTGATCGAGTTTACAACTATCCAGAGGGTTTAGGAGAAGTGCTTTATCGAGAACAGTTCGACTTCAACGCTGAGCCACCTTGGGAACCTAGCTGATGATAGTAGGGTTCCATCTCCTAACTTGTCCATGTAAGTCTTGACCATAGCTGATTTCTCAGCTCAGAACACAGCTATTCGAACAACAATAAATCACATGTTGTTTTTAAGTTGCTCACCTAATGATGTTCTCTGTTGTCAAATTTTGATATAATCTAACTGGTCATAATTCAATAAAACTCTGCATTTATTTCAAAAATTAATAGTGTTATAGCCTTATCTGATGACTGAGGAAGTAGTCCAGTTGGATTCATGTCTAAGGCAAGAGTGTGATGGCTCAGCAGATTAAAATTCTGAGGTTATCACCTGGCAAGATGGCAGCCCAGGTTCAAAACCTGAACACCATGCAATAGGGTGAGCTCCCATTACTTGCCCCAGCTTCTACACACATCTAGCAGTTCGAAAGCATGTAAATGTGAGTAGATAAATAAGTACCACTTCAGTGGAAAGGTAATAGCATTTCATGCACTTCTGCATATAGTCATGCTGACTATATGACCACAGAAATGGGTTTGGAAAATGCTGCTCCCTCTACTAAGAAACAGATGAGCACCACCCCCTGAACTGGATANCCAAAGTATTTGAGTTTCCTCTTCAGGATCTGGCCTTCTAAAGAGCAGTCAGGGTTAATCTCTTCTAGGACTGGATTTTTATAATTTTTCTGCTTTGATGTGCATATGCTTGTGCATTTCATTGTAAGGAGACTGGAAAGGCTTAAGCAGTATTAATGGGAATTAATGGGAATCCAGCCCCCAGCAGGAGCAGTGTGCAACTTTCTTACTACAGGAAACGGTCATTTCAGGAAAGGAAAAATAAAGTTAGCTTCTAAGGACCTGGAGTGACTGATGACATCCTGATATTACTGGAGAGGATAGAGATTTGTTTTAGGCTGTGTTTTGCACTTGGGGACTTAAATAGTTTCCCTTAAAAACTTAGCTCCAGTGCAAAAATTTACAATGCGTGTGAAATTCTTTTGAAAGTCAGAATTTGGAAACATTAGCATGGAGCGTTGCATGCCTGTGTTTTACGACAATTCAAAAAGATTCTACTACTTGAAGCATTCTGTTAAAAAATTAGTAGAAGGTTGAGTTGGAGATGTCTTAGTAAGCACCATACTAAGCTGTGCAAACATTGGTTGACCTTATATTCAGGTATAATTGTCTTAATCTAGCTAGAATTTTCATGCAGTATGTAATGTGATATATTGTGCCTTCGGTTTTGGAAGAGAGCAGGAGTGTGATGGATTTTTGATATGGAAATAATCCGATTGAATGTGCTCCAGATGCTCTCGGGTGCTGATGCCTTAAACGGAAGGATTAACGTTTATGTCTTCCACCAGGGATATTGCTGCTAGAAACGTGCTAGTGTCCTCTACAGATTGTGTGAAACTAGGTGATTTTGGTTTGTCTCGTTATATGGAAGATAGCACATATTATAAAGGTAAGTAAGGGGTGTGTTCACACAATCACTGTCTACACAGTCTCTGTTGAATAAAAAGAGTGTCTTGTCTTGTCATAGGACATAGGGGTCATTCCATGTCAAGTGGTCTGCTCAACCATCACGGATTTTGATGAAAGTTGGTGTGAATGTGCATACCCCCCCCCCAATGAACATTGGGAAAGTGTTACATGTGCCGATGCAATACTTGTGGGGATATAGTCCTTTGTTTGACCCCCATACTGCAACCTTCTACAGAATGACTCTGAGGTTCCAGCAATTTGAAGACGTAATATCTCCAGCAATATTTTGTTGAGAGAAACAAAACTTGGCCATTTGTACAACTTTCTGTGCTCTATTAAACAAAATAATAAAAACATTCTCATGAACGATCTCCATCTAGATAATTTGGAGCAAAGCTGGCTAAAAAAATTGTGGTTCAAAAAATGGTTAAAGTTTGGCTTTGTATATCTTTGGAAGGAAAGGTACGTTAAACGTGAAATTTTGTGTGGATTAACTTAGCAACACAAGGTTTTCAAATATAAAATTTCATTCTTCTAGTGCTTTTCAATAGTTCGCAATTTGAGTGTAAAGTTGACATTTTTTGTAAAAATGCCCCAAATAGGGTATTTTCAGTCCACTTGGGAAGTGGGAAGGGAGGCGGGGTGCATCCGCACACACATACACTGTGGCAGGGTACATGGATGGGGTGCATGCTCAGGGGGCGTTTGCACTGCATTTTGGGGTTGCGTGCACATTTTGAGCGCTCGGCACCAAAAAGGCTAGCCCCTCACGGCTCTATGATATATGCAACAATAGTAACCCAATGGCCCAAGTTGGCGAAAAATTCAGCCAGCACATTCAGACTGGGATACATGCATGCATATATACTCAAAGGTTTAGCCTGCAACCCAGTATAAAATATAAAGATTGGAGCAGATTAATGATGTTTAAGATGTCCTGAGTAGGTTTCATTTGTGCACTTTAGCTTCAAAAGGAAAATTGCCCATCAAGTGGATGGCCCCAGAATCCATCAACTTCCGACGTTTTACCTCAGCCAGTGATGTCTGGATGTTTGGTAAGAGGAGATCAGCAAGTTTCCTATATCTCTGCCTCCATTTTAAACTGTTTCTTGAATGTGTGCAGGTAGTCCTCGACTTACGACCACCATTGAGCCCAAAATTTATGTTGCTAAGTGAGATTATAGTAATAGAGATTATGCTTGTTAATCGAGTTTCGCCCCATTTTATGAATTCCTTGCCGCTGTTGTTAATTGAATCATTGCAGCTGTTGAGTTAGTAGCACATTTGTTCAGTGAATCTGGTTTCCCCCTTGACTGTGCTTGTCAGAAGGTCACAAAAGGGGATCACGTGACCCTAGGACCCTGCAATGGTCATAAACATGAACCAATCACCAAGCATCTGAATTTGGATGACGGGACCATGGGGATTCCGCAACGGGGGTAATTGTGAGAAATGGCACTGACTTATTTTTTTCATTGCCGTTGTAATTTTGAATGGTCACTAAACGAATTTTTGTAAGTCAAGGACTACCTGTATCACCCTTACCTGGTATTGCATGGCACTCAAACCAGTGTACAACATGTAGATTTGCCCAGATGTAATATTGAATTTGCGCTACTCCGCCTTTCAGTTTCTATTGACATCGTAGTTGTCCCCTCTTGGTTTTCTTTCTGCTATAGATTGCATTTAGAAGATTTTATTCATGAAATAGATTGTTCTAGTGTGATGCAGTCTTGGATTTTTTTCCATCCAGCAATTCAATTCAATTCAATTTATTAGATTTATAGGCCGCCCAATCCCGGAGGACTCCGGGCGGCTTACACAGAACAAGAAAAGAAAAACAAACAAAATAAAAATAAAAAATAAAGAAATTTTTTTAAAAAATTCTCCAACATGCATACGTTCTGATTGGGGCTGGACCCTACATAATAAGGTCAACAGCCCCAGCAGCAGAATGAAGCAATCACCAGTGTCATATATTAAAAATATTCTTCATATTGAATACAGTCCACCAGACATATATGGTAACCAGGGCTTGACAAATCTCTTTTAATTGTCATACAACAGACAAAACAAAAATGGATTTTCAGTC